TCAGGGTTTCGTAGGGGGCCAGTGAGTTAAGATCAGGTTTCGGAGGGGGACCCAGGGGCTAGGATAAGGTTTTCGAGCGGAGCCCACGGAATTCGGAGTAGGTTTTCGCGCGGAACCCCTGGAGTTGGGATCAGGTTTTCGTAGGGGACCAGTGAGTCAGGATAAGGTGTTCGTAGGGGGGCTAGGGGTTAGGGCAAGGTTGTCGCATTGAGCCCAAGGAACTCGGATCCGGTTTTCGCTCGGAGCCCATGGAGTGTAGATACGGTTCTCGTAGTGGGGCCGGTGAGTTAGGAGAAGGTTTTCGCAGCGGGCCTTGGGCGTTAGGATAAGGTTTTCGCGCAGAGCCCTGGGAATTCGGACTAAGTTTTCGAGCGGAGCCCAAGGAGTTTGGATCAGGTTTTGTAGGGGGCCAGTGAGTTAGGATAAGGTTTTCGCAGCGAGCCCTGGGCGTTAGGATAAGGCTTTCGCGCAGGGCTCAAGGAATTCAGAGTACGTTTTCGCGCGGAGCCCCTGGGGGTTGGGTCTGGAATTCGTATTGGGGACTGTGAGTTAGGATAAGGTTTCCGTATCGGGCCCAGGTCGTTAGGATAAGGTTTTCGCTGGGCCCAAGGAGTTCTGAGTAGGTTTTCGCGCCAAGCCCTTGGACCTTGGTTAAGGGTAGGCAGGCCAGTGATTGAGGAGGCGTTTTTCTTACGGGAGTCCGGGGAATTAGGATATATCTTTCGCGCCTGGAATTCGGATTAGGGCTTCGCGCGGAGCCCGCGGAGCGTGGATCTGGTTTCCGCAGGGGGGGAGATGAGTTAGGCGAAGGTTTTCGTAGGGGGCCCCGGTAGTTAGGATAAGGCTTTCGCGCGGAGCCTAAGGAATTTGGGTAAGGTTTTCGCGCGGAGCCCTTGGAGACTGGATCTGGATGAGGTTTTCGTTGGATCTGGTTTTCTCACTGGCCCCCCTACGAAAACCACATCCGAACTCCATGGGCTCCGCGCGAAAACCTAATCCGAATTCCTTGGGCTCCGCCCAAAAACCTTGTCCTGACTCCCGGGCCCCCCTACGAAAACCTTATCCTAACCCGCTGGCCGCCCTACGAAAATCATATCCGAACTCCAGGGCTCCGCGCGAAAACCTAATCCGCATTCCTTGGGCTCCGCCCGAAAACCTTAGCCTGACTCCCGGGCCCACTCCACGAACACCTTATCCTAACCCAATGGCCCCCCTACGAGAACCGTATCCGAACTCCATGGGCTCCGCGCGAAAACCTAGTCCGAATTCCTTGGGCTCCGCGCGAAAGCCTTATCCTAATTCCCGCCCTCCCCTACGAAAACCTTATCCTAACTCACAGCCCCCTTACGGAAAGCATATCCGAACTCCACGGACTCCGCGCGAAAACCTAATCTGAATGCCTTGGTCTCCGCCCGAATACCTTGCCCTAACCCCTGGGCGCCAACCTTATCCTAGTCATATCCGAACTCTATGGGCTCCGCGCGAAAACCTAGTCCGAATTCCTTGGGCTCCCCCCGAAGACCTTATCCCAACTCCCGTGCCCGCCTTCGAAAGCCTTATCCTAACTCACTGGGCCCAATACGATAACGCGTATCCGAACTCCATGGGCTCCGCGCGAAATCCAAACCGGAATTCCTTGGGATCCGCCCGAAAACCTTATCCTAACTCTCGCCCCCGCCCGAGGAAAACCTTATCCTAGATTATTCCCCCTTGCGAAGAAGCTCATTCGAATTCCTTGGGCTTTGCGCAAAAACCTCATCATAATTTGTTGGACCCCCTGCGAAAACCTTGTCCTAACTCACTGGCCCCCATGCGAAAACCATATCCGAACTCCATGGGCGCCGCTCGAAAACCTAATCCGAATTTCTTGGGCCCTGCGCGAAGATCTCTTCGGAATTCTTGGGGCCCTCTACCAACATTTTATCCTAAGCAACTGGGCGCCCTACGAAAACCATATCCAGACTCGTGGGGCTCCGCGCGAAACCTACTCCGAATGTGTTGATCTCCGCTCGAAAGCCTTCTCTTGATTTTACGAGAACCTTACCAGGAATCACTGGCTCCTTACGAAAAGCATTCCCAACTTCGAGGGCCGGCGTTCCTCCCTCATCGTCCTCTGTTTCCACGTCCACCTCAGTCCTCATCCTCTGCATGCCTTGCGGGCCTCGGACTCTCCCATCGCCCCACGCCATTGTCTTGTCCCCCGGGGGGAAGCGCGAAAGGCTCGAAGTCATTCGCGCTTCGCGCTTCGCGAGCCCCTCGTCTTGTCCTGGGGAGGGGGGCGCAAAAGCGCGAAGTTATTCGCGCTTCGCGCAGCGCGAAGCGCGAAGCTAGGAGCCCTTGCGAAGGCACTCGATTGCATCGTGCATTTCTCCCAGCGCGTTACCAGGGCTGCCGCAAGCAATGATAATGCAAGGCAGCGAGGTGTCCAGCGAGGTCCCAGCTCCCAGCTCCGAACAGGCGGCAGCACCACCCAACATGTGTTCGTTTTTGTTATTCCTTGTTTTGCCGATCGGCGCGGGTGCTCGCATCCCCCCCGTTGCTGTTTTTGGCGCCTGTTTCGAGCAGGTGGGCCCTCCCCCATAATGGACGGACGCACTGCTGCGACCAGTCGCACTCAGCAGAGGTCTGGAGCCGGGCCCCCGCCCTCCCCCCTTTCCGCCCAATCCAATGTCGAAACGCCGAACATAACAACGCTCACCGTGGTTGTTGCATCATGTTGCACGCTGGTCATGCACGTCGCGGAAGGACAACGCGAGAGCCCCAGGTTCAAAAGGAAGCGAGATCCGTCCGTACAGCTGCTGCGTATGGTGCTGTTGCTTGGTGTGTGTGTGTGTGTGCGCGTGTGCGCGCATGTGTTTGTGTGTGTGTGTGTCTGAAGATGAGGGAAGCCTCAAGTGAGGGCCACAGCTGGAAGACAACGGGGGCTTGCGCCGCCCTGAAGGTGTTTGAAGTCGAACGTGCGTGGCGCTGCCCCGCGAACCCAACCTGCTTAGAAAGGAAGCGCACTCCATCTTTGGATGGGGAGGCGGAGGTAGTAGCTACAAGCTGATGCGACGAATGTGCGCGGCCCGAAGGCGAGACCCCTAGTTTAAGCACGGCTTGTGTTTCATGTTCGTGTTCGTTGCAAGCGTTGATGGCGAGTACCTTCGGCGCTGAGGCGAGAGTTCATTTGACAACGACCTGTGCCCTTTTTTGCGTGTATTTCATGTAACCGTAAAAGGTCACGAACGAGAGGAAGAGAGTGAGAGAGACTGGGAGCATGGGGTGGGGGACGGCACGGGGATGGATGGAGGGAGGCAGGGAGAACGACACGGAACAGCGGGAGCAGTCAGGATATACGATGAGGTCGAGCAGCAACGGCAGCAGTTGCGGTAGCAGCAGCAGCAGCAGCAGCAGCAGTAGCGGCACACACAGACGCAGCATTGGCACTAGTAGGGTTTGCCGGCATCGTGATTGTAGCAGCGCATCCGTGTCACTCAAATTTCGGGAGCAGCCGAGTTCGGATACGTTGGTACACTGATTAGTGCTAGTAGTGATGGCTGTAGCGGCAGCGGCAGTTGTGGTGATAGTTGCGGGATGAGTGCTAGTATTCGTAGTAGGTGTAGTCGTAGAAGCATTCGCCGCAGTATTTAGGATTGGTCGTACTGTGTACCCTGTCTACTCGACGTTGCGGCGCGGAGAGAAGGAATCATATTAGAAGGGAGACAATGCCAAGGAGGATGGGAGGGAGAGAAGGTCTATGAGGGACGGGTTTCATATCGGATGTGTTGGTCCGTCTTTTCAATTCCCTCAGCATCCCCCCTCAGTCTTCTCTCCTCAACTCCCGTTCCCCTATTGGTTTTCAGTGTACCAGTGGACAAGGCATCTTCAGCGGGCAGGCATGCACTCGACAAGTGACGGAGGACCCAGACATGATTGCATCCGAAGCGCTTGTGAGCTACGATGATCTCCTCTAGCTCATGCCCAACGGGGAGAAGGCTGGTCAGGAGGAACTGCTCCTTCCTCTCCCTCTCCCGTTTACCTCTCCTCCCCCCCATGCCCCTGCTGTGTGGCCGCAAGGGGGGGGGGGCGCTTTGGTCGCGCGGGGGGTGGGCGGGGCCGCGCAGGGGGGGGGGGCTCTTATCCCGTTTTCCTCCCCTCCTTTACGTCCCTGCCCCTGCCGGGTGGCCGCGAGGGGGTGGCGCTTTGGTCGCGCGACGGCCTTGGGCTTCGTCCTATTTCGCCGCGGCCGCCGTCGGCGCTTCGCGCCCGCGCGATCCTCAGCATCGTCTAGCCCGTCCCCCTCTTCCTCCTCCTCCTCCTCCTCCTCATCCTCCTCCTCCTCCTCCTCCTCCTCCCCCTCCTCTGTCTCCTCCTCCTCCTCCTCCATTATTTTTCTTATAGATAACTTCTCCCTGTCGCACCCAGAGGCCAGTTTTAGGGCGGGCCGGGCATTTCGCTTGAGACTTCCTCACCACTTAGGACTGTGAAGGTTCAACTTGGCAACAGCTTTACAGATGCAGGGCGGGTCGTTTTCAACATGTGGCTCTCGCCTTAGCGTGGCGCGCATTCGCTTTAAACATTTCCAGAGCTTCAAGGATTGAGAGCGGGTCGTTTTCAAACTGTGGCTCTCGCCGTCGCGCGGCGCACATCCTTTTTAACCATTTGCAAGAGTTTCACGGATTGAGGGCGGGCCGTTTTCAACATGTGGTTCTCGCCTTAGCGCCGCGCGCATTCGTTTTAAAACTTTGCAAGAGTTTCACGAATTGAGGGTGGTTCCTTTTCAACATGTGGCTCTCCTCCTCCTGCTCCTGCTCCTCCTCCTTGTCCTCCTCCTCCTCCTCCTCCTCGTCCTCCTCCTCCTCCTCCTCCTCCTCCTCCTCCTCCTCCTCCTCCTCCTCCCTCTGAGGGATCGGTCAAACGATGCTTAGACCCGGCTCGCCCGAGTTCGCCTCGAACTCCGTCGTGCCCCCCCGCAGGGGAACGGCCGCGAGCGCAGACGCCGGACGCGCACCGACCCGATGCACTGGGACGACGGCGTGGTCCAGCCTGGGGGGGGGGGGCTGGCGCCGCCCGAGACAGGGGGGGGGGAGGAGGAGGGGGAGGAGGAGGAGGAGGAGGAGGAGGAGGAGGAGGAGGAGGAGGAGGAGGAGGACGAAGGGGATGAGGAGGAGGAGGAACTTCGAAGGAGCTTCGGCGACGACGATGTCGAGTTTCGCCTATTGGCTGCGCCAGTTCGGGGCACGGGAACTGGACGACCCTTAGAGTGGCATTGGCTTGTCTTTATACAGCATTTGATTCCATACACCGGGTTCTGACACTAGAATAACAAGCCTTTGACATTCTCTCGATCAGATGAGGAGAAGGAGGAGATGGAGGAGGAGGAGGAGGAGGCTGAGGAGGAGGAGGAGGAGGAGGAGGAGGAGGAGGAGGAGGAGGAGGAGGAGGAGAAGGAGGAGGAGGAGGAGGAGGAGGAGGAGGGGGGCGCACGACACGTTGTAACTATAACATACACTTTCCGCCGTCGGGGACGCCTGTCCCACGGCGTCTGGAAAGCTCGTATCGCGACGTGCCACAGTAGGGGCATAAATTTTCCAGCCGCTCTGGGGAAGGCACCTCCCCGAGATCTGGCGGTGTCGACAAGGGGGTGGCGCGAGGGGGCTGGCCGCATGAGAAGGCAGCGGGGCCTCTAACAAGGCAGGGGGCTTCGCAGAAGCCCGCTCGTCTCTGAAGGGGCCTTTTTCCGGACCCTCCAGGGCAGGCCCCTGCCCTCTGTGAGTGCCCTCCGCGTCTTGAGAAGGCCGCCCTCCTCGCACCGCCCCCTCGTGAGCGCCGCCAGCGGGTCTGCCCTCCCTGGCCCGCGCTCGCGGCACTCTTCAGGCGGGGCTGCCCTCTCGACGCTCTTGACGTGAGCATCACCGCCAGACTACTCCTCCTCCTCCTCCTCCTCCTCCTCCTCCTCCTCCTCCTCCTCCTCCTCCTCCTCCCCTTCGTCCTCCTCCCCGTCGGAGGCCGGCAACGGCTCCTTCCTCCCTCCGCCCTCACGGCTTGCTCGGTCTGGTTCGGCTGGGAGCTGTTGTGGCTCGAACCCATCGCCTCCTCCGAGCGTGCGACCGTCCGCCTTTTCGCCTGCGCGCCAGTCGCTTCGCTGCGCAGCCGTCCACAGCAGAAACTCGCAGTGCCCTCGGGGAGGGGTGGGGGCGGGGGGCGCTGCGGCTGCCGCCCTCGCCCGTGTCGATCTCCCTGGGTTCGGCCTCCGGGAGGCCACGATGCGCCCGCCACCACGCTGCCTTCCCCCCACCTCCTCCTCCTCCTCCTGCCTGCTTCCATCCTCCTCCTCCTCCTCCTCCTCTGCCTGCTTCCACTCCTCCTCCTCCTCCTCCTCCTCCTCCTCCTCCTCCTCCTGCCTGCTTCCACTCCTCCTCCTCCTCCTCCTCCTCCTCCTCCTCCTCCTCCTCCTCCTCCTCCTCCTCCTCCCCAGGCCACATCTCGGACTGGCTTCCGGCGGGGTGCTGCTGCGGCGCAGGGGCCCCCTGTTTCTGCGGCGGGCATTCGCAGCCGTCGTGCGCTCAGTCCGTGAGGAGGTGCGCCTCCTTGTCCACGGCGTCGAAGCAATGCCTGCAAGTCGGCGACGGCGTGCGAACCCGACCCTCGCAGATCCACCATCCAGGCCTCGATGGGCGGCGGTGCTGTGGGGTTCGAAGAGTCATCGAAGACGTGGCGACATCCGAACCTTGCCCCCGCCTCCCACCAATTCAGGAGAATCGATGGTTGGAGTGGAAAGCGGTTCGGATGTCGCCACCCAGTAATGGTAGTGCTTGCCGTGGCGGGCGCAACCTGAGCCGAGGCTCGTGCTCCCGTGGGCCTGGCGGCAAGTGGGTTAGCGCTTCGTACGCGTCGCTGTCGCCCTCGTCGTCGGAACTTCGAGAAATGATGCGTCGCCGACTGCGCAACGGGGCAGCTTTCCGTCCCCCTCCCGCGATCGATCCGCGCCTGGCGAAGCTCAGGCCCGGAGCACGCGTATTCTGGGTCTCTTCATGAGCGTGGGGGGGTACCCCTCCGACGGGGGTCAACCTCGCCTCGTCGACGCTCCGCGGCGAGGGGGTCGGAGCGCCTTCGGCGCGCTGTGGCTGCCCGCAACGGGGGTCGATGTGAGGCTGTCGGCGGGGGTGGCGCCCCCCCGACGCTCATTAAGAAGCTCGGAGAATTCAGTCGTGCTGCGCACGAAGGCACAGCGCTGACAAGGCGCAGACGCAACACTCGGCCATCACTCGGTTTGGGCTGATGTACTCGAACTTCTCCGCTGGCGGTTTCGTGGCCGAACGCGAGACGATATTGGTGCGATGATCGGTGAAGCGTTTGTTTTCCACGCCCACCACCATAAGTTGGAGGGGGGAAGGAGGCGGAAGATGAGGAGGAGGAGGACGAGGAGGAGGAGGAGGAGGAGGAGGATGGGGAGGAGGAGGAGGAGGAGGAGGAGATGGAGGAGGAGGAGGAGCAGGAGGAGAAGGAGGAGGAGGAGGACTCCCTCCCGCTCCTACTTTTGGTGGTGGTGGTGGAAGACAAGCCCACCTGTTTGTTGGGACGGAGCCACTCGCGCTCGGTTGGCCGACCGACCGCGACCGGTGCCGCGTGCGCCATGGCGCGCGATCGGCGGAGCGCGACTGCACCCGTGGCCTGCCCGCGGTCTTCTTCTCCTCCTCCTCCTCCTCCTCCTCCTCCTCCTCATGCTCTTTTTCCTCCTCCTCCTCCTCCACCTCCTCCTCCTCATGCTCTTTTTCCTCTTCATCCTATTTTTCCTCCTTCCCCTCCTCCTCCTTCTCCTCCACCTCCTCCTCCACCACCTCCTCCTCCTCCACCTCCTCCTCCTCCTCCTCCTCCTCCTCCTCCTCCATGGTGCTTCACCGCGTGTCTTGGTTGTCTTGTGCGGGCGCCCGGCAGTGGAATCATCTCGGAGATGTAGGCGCTCCCATTCGGCTCCCATACGAGCTGCAGGCTCAGGGGAGGAACAGGTGCCAATACCTCCTCTTATCCTTCCGTCGTCGCCACGGCTGGATGCGCCTCGACGTCTTGGTCGGAGCGCACCCTGGGAGGGGTCTCTGGAGTAGCGGCATCGGTACCTCTCTGTTCTCTCACAGGCGCTCGGAACCCGTTCCCGCGACAGCTGCAGGTACTGCGCGCGCGACGCCTCGGGCATCCCTGTGGCTGCTCTTCGACACGGAATATCTTCGGGGCCCGACGAGTGGAAGCAGCTACGATGGAGGGCAGCTGCTGGCGGCGCGCGTGTGAGGGCGTGGGCGTTGTCGGGGGAGGAGGAGGAGGAGGAGGAGGAGGAGGAGGAGGGGAGGAGGGAGGAGGAGGAGGAGGGGGAGGAGGACGAGGAGGAGGAGGAGGAGGAGGAGGAGGAGGAGGAGAGGAGGAGGAGGACGAAGGAGGAGGAGGAGGAGGAGGAGGGAGGAGGGAGGGAGGGAGGGAGGGAGGGAGGGAGGGGAGGGAGGGGGGGGAGGGAGGGGGGGAGGAGGGGGGGACCACTTCGGCCCGAGGGTGCTGCGGCACGGAGGACGCACGCGGCGGCAGGCGTCCTCGGCGGGCTCGGCGGGCTGGGCGTCGCGCCGCCGCCCTCGCGGCCCCCTCGCGCGACGCCCCTTCGAGCTCCGGGTGCCTCGAATCACTAAGTCGGCCTCGTCCTCCTCCTCCTCCTCCTCCTCCTCCTCCTCCTCGTCCTCCTCCTCCTCATCCTCCGCCTCCTTCCCCCCTCCAACTTATGGTGGTGGGCGTGGAAAACAAACGCTTCACCGATCATCGCACCAATATCGTCTCGCGTTCGGCCACGAAACTGCCAGCGGAGAGGTTCGAGTACATCAGCCCAAACCGAGTGATGGCCGAGTGTTGCGTCTGCGCCTTGTCAGCGCTGTGCCTTCGTGCGCAGCACGACTGAATGCTCCGAGCTTCTTCATGAGCGTCGGGGGGGCGCCACCCCCGCCGACAGCCCCACATCGACCCCCGTCGCGGGCAGCCACGGCGCGCCGAAGGCGCTCCGACCCCCGTCGCGGCGCGACGACGAGGCGAGGTTGACCCCCGTCGTGGGGGCCCCCCCCACGCTTCTTAAGAAACCCAGAGTATGCGTGTCCGGCTTGTCCTGCTGCTGCCCCATCCGTTCCAGGGTAAATTTCGTGCGCCCAGAGCTCTGCAGGAGAATGGAAGCGATGGCGCAAACACGCACAACAGAGAGTAGAAGCGATGGCAGCAGACGAGTGCAGAGGTCAACGCGGATGTCTTGGGTCGGCGCTGGGACCCCCCTGGCGGCGCCTTAGACGCCGCCCCTGGCGCGCTCCGCGCGTTAGGGAGTGGGGTCCAGTGTTGATCTAAGAAATCCGCGCGGACTTCCGAAAGTTTGTGGTTATACTGTCTTTGTTGTTCCTCTAAGTAGGCTGGTGTCGTGCCGACGCGGCAGCGACCCCAGCGCGGGAGTTCAAGGTTGAACGCCGCCGGTGACCCAGAATCGGCCATGAGCGAGCGATCTGCGCTACAGTGAGGACGCTGAAACAAGGAGCACCTTGGGATCAGGAGGAGGAGGAAAAGGAGGAAGAGGAGGAAGAGGAGGAAGAGGAGGAAGAGGAGGAAGAGGAAGAGGAAGAGGAAGATGATGAGGATGATGATGATGATGATGATGATGATGATGATGATGATGATGATGATGATGATGATGATGATGATGATGATGATGATGATGATGATGATGCTGATGCTGATGCTGATGATGATGTCTGATGATGATGATGATGCTGCTGCTGATGATGGTGCTGATGATGATGATGATGATGATGGTGGTGGTGGTGGTGGTGATGACGATGGTGGTGGTGGAGGTGATGATGATGATGATGATGATGATGATGATGATGATGATGGTGGGTGGTGGTGGTGGTGGTGGTGGTGGTGGTGATGATGATGATGATGATGATGATGATGATGTTGATGATGATGATGATGATGATGATGATGATGATGATGATGATGATGATGATGATACTGATGATGATGATGATGATGATGATGATGATGATGACGAGGAGGAGGAGGAGGAGGAGAAGGCGAGGGAACAGGAGGAGGAGGAAGATGAGGAGTAAGAGGAGGATGAGGAGGAGGAGGAAGAGGAGGAGGAGGAGGAGGAGGAGGTGGAGGAGTAATAGGAGGAGTAAGAGGAGGAGGAGGATGAGGATGAGGAGGAGGAGAACCAGTTGAAACCCATGAGTCATCAAGCTCCCTCTACATAGGCCCCTACAGCGGTTGATTTCCATTGAGGGAACTGCCCCGTTGGAGGACAACAGTTTGAAGATCCTGAAACGTGCCAAAACTTTGTTCTCGGGATTTCAACGCCGCCACGTATAAACTTGACTTCTGCGTCTTGACGATCCAGAATCGTGCCGAACGCCATTTTTGGGGATTTCAACACAGCGAACCAACATAACTGTTGCGCCCGTATAATCTTGAATCCTTCCAGAACGCCATGCCTGGTACGTTGATCATAGGAATCCGCGAAAGTCTTACAACTTGTTAAAATCGAATGTCCGCGGCGCTGGGGCGAGAGCCACATTTTGGAAAGGAACCGCCCCCAATCCATGAAACTCTTGCACATCTTGAAAAATAATATACGCGGCGCTAAGGCGAGAGCCACATTTTAAAAAGGAGCCGCCCTCAAGCCGTGAAACTCTTGCAATTTCACCGAATGTGCGCGGCGCTAAGGCGAGAGCCACATTTTGAAAACCACCCGCCCTCAATCCGTTAAACGTTTGCAGTTTTTTTTATCGAATGTACGCGCGTTAAGGCGAGAGCCACATTTTGAAAAGGAACTGCCCTCAATCCGTGAAACTTTTGCAAATGTTTACAACGAATGTGCGCGGCGCTAAGGCGAGAGCCACATTTTGAAAACCACCCGCCCTCCATCTGTGAAACAGTTGCCATTTCTTAAGCTTCAATCATAAATGGTGAGGAAGTCTCAGGCGAACCGCCCGGCCCGCCCTAAAAATTAGCCTCGGGGTGCGACAGGGAGGAGTTATCTATTAGGAGAAGGACTGGAGGAGGAGAAGGAGGAGGAGGAGGAGGAGGAGAAAGAGTAGGAGGAGGAGGAGGGGGAAGAAGAGGAGGAGGAGGAGGAGGAGGAGGGGGAGGATAGGGGGGTACCCCCCCCACGCTCATTAAGAAACCCAGGGGCTCAGGAGGGGCTCGGGTTCTTGGCCGTTCCGCAGACTCATGTGGGGAGCCGTACAGTCGGGGCCCTGCAGAAGGAGCCCTTTTCGGTGGGGAGGGGCTCCGTGTTCCTCAATCGTTTCGCAGTTTGCCCTGGATTTCCCTCAGGGTTTCGATACGACATCGAAGTGTAACTTCTGGAAAATAGGGGCCTCGCTCCTTAGTTAGGGTTCCGTAGGTCCACGCCCCGACTGTGTAGTCGTGGCCGAGAGCGGCCGAGGCTGGCCGTCCTTTTCGTACCGATCAGTCTGGCAGTGCGACGGCCGCACTGGAAGGCCGCGATCGCCCTACGTTGAACTCTGGGCCTCGTACGGTAGGTTTGCGTCGTGTCGACCAGCGGCGACCCCAGCGCGGGCGTTCAAGGTTGAACGCCGCCGGCGACCCAGAATCGATCGATGTTGAACGATCGGGCGTTGCGGCGGCGGCCGATCGTTCAAGGTTGAACGATCCCTGCGGTGTCAAAAACCAACGCTGGGGTCGGCACGACACGAACCTGCCGTAGAAGGGGTCGGAGCAGGTGGGGTCGGAGGATCGCGCCGCATCGCCGACGCATCGGCGATGCATCGGTAATGCATCGGCGATGCGGCTCGATGTGGGGCTCGATTTTCTCCACGCCCGCGTCGCCGATGTGTCGCTGACGTCGCCAGTGCATGGCCGATGCATCGCCGATGCATCGGCGATGCATCGTCGATGTATCGGCGATGCGGTGAGATCCCCCGACCCCAGCTACTCGGACCCCATCTGGGAGGCCTCTGTGAACGATGAACGATTAACGCAGCGTTAGAAACCAGCGCCGACGTCGTGACCTCACGGATCCTCCGTACGACGAGGAGGAAACACGGCACGAACATGAACTTGCGGCGCTCCGGGCGGATTCTCGGACCCACGCCGGGACCCCCCCCCCGGCGGCGCCCTCGGGGCTGCGCCTTCGGCGCGCGGAGCGCGCCAGGGAGGAAGGCCTCCACACCGATCAAGGAACTCCGCGCGGGCCTCCGATAGGTCATGTTCATGCCGTGTTTGCTCTTCTCGTGTGTGAGGGGCCCTCCTTCTCCCACTTCGGCTCCCGATCCCCCTCGCCCCCTCCGATCCCCCTCTCCCCCTCTCCTGCTGCCTATTCGGCGATGACGATGTAATGACATGGGGCACGGGTGGGAGGAGGGAGGATGAGAGCGATGGAGAACGAGAAGGAGGAAGGAATATGAATTGAGTCAGGACAAATGATGAGTAATGGGAGGAGAACGAAGTGGATTCGGATAACTAGTGCCAAGAGGAGCCAGGAACATTAAGATCACGTTCCGTGATGTATCCTCGATCTGTTCGTCCTCGTTCTTACCGTTGTCTCCTCTTCGCCCTCCTGCGTCGCCCTTCCTTCCAATCTCCTCACGCAGACCTCATCGCGGCAGACCTTGTGTTGGGAGGTCACCGTGATGGTACGACAGATCCCCCGCCGCTTCACCCAGCTGATGTTCCTGAAGGAGGCCGCGTGCGTTGGCCCCATGGTAGTTTTGTCAAGTCTGACGTTGGCCCATGCAGGCTGGGAAGGAGAGTGAGGAGGAGGAGGACGAGGAGGAGAAGGAGGAGGAGTCAGAGGAGGAGAAGTAGGAGTAGGAGGAGTCGGAGGAGGAGGAGGAGGAGGAGGAGGAGAAGGGGAAGGACCAGGAGCAGGAGGAGGAGGAGGAGGACGAGGAGGAGTAAGAGGAGGAGTAGGAGTAGGGGGAGGAGGTGGAGGAGGAGGAGGAGGAGGAGGAGGAGGAGGAGGAGGATAAGGGTTTTCGAGTATTCAGAACAAGGGTGCGCAGGAGGATGCCGCGTGCCGTCGAGAAATGTTTGCTGACCACTGGATTTCCACCAACTGTATATGTGTAGAAGGGCGATGCTGCAAGATAAGGACATGCGACGGGCTGCCATATGTAATGAGACCCGCACGGAGCCTTCTATACCAAATATTGGATGAGTCGGTGCAGTCACAATCAGACAATCAGGGAGATGGCTTTGAGGAGAGGGGCGGGGGCGAGGAGGACGGAGAAGGGAGGGGGATGCGAGCGACCAGGGAGAGCAGATGATGGAGTAGAGAGGGAGGGAGGGCGGCTGGAGATACAGTGGGAGGTGCAGAGAGTGAGGAAAGAGGAAGATGGAGAGGGGACGAAGGAGGGTGGAGGAGGGAAGAGGGAGGAGGCAAGGAGGAGGAGGAGGAGGAGGAGGCAAGGAGGAGGAGGGAGGGAGGAGGAAGAGGCGGAGGTTCCGTTGCCATTTTGGCTCAAGTCCGGACTGTCTGGCTCAAGGTCTTGAGGTACTTTCTGGCGTGGGGGATCAGCGGCCCCCGGCTGCGTACCCTGGCATCTCCAGCCAGGACACTTCGATACGGTATTGCTGTCCCGCCCGCGCGCCTTTGCTACAGCGATCACGTCTGGCTCATGGCAGATTTCTCTCGCTGGGCGTGTGGGAACAAGCGGTGTGGTTTCCAGCAAACTATGCATCACGATCGAGCTGCTACAAGTGCGGATGGCAACCTGGGCGTCTCCCTAGGCAGCCGTCGAGCGTTTAAGGTGGGCAGAAGCCAAGCAAGCGCCAGCTCGGCGCCTGGGTCCAAGGCCCGCCCAAGGCCTCAGCTCGTGTACCGCACCTTTCAGCAGCGCAGATCAAGATGTGTGCACGCATGCCCCCGACGGACTTCGACACTGTCGCGGAGGGATGGCCTGCCAAGTTGGTTGCGAAGATCACAATCCACAGAGACATCGAGAACAATGAGCCGAAGGCCAGCGCCAAGGCTGCTCGGATTGATGGGGACTCGGCCTCGGATAAGAAGATCAAAGCGCAGAAGGCCCACGACTGCGCGCAGGAGGCCTTGGTCAAGGCGGTGGCGAACGCGGCCAAGCTCAAGGCAGAGCTGGCGGCAGCGGTGCAGGCAGAGAAGGGAGCTGCTGCCCGCGCTGCCGCTGCCTATGCATCCATGGCGCCGCCCACGGACCCGCTCGGCCAGCTGCAGCAGTTGGTGGAGACGTTTGAGAAGTCCGAGCCGCTCAGGGCAGTCGCGGCGGCGCCCGCAGGAATCGTTCCAGCCGTTCATGACGCGCTTCCTGCCGCAGTGGCTCCTGCACCTCCTGCTGTGCCTGGCGGCGCTCTTCCCGTCCAGCAGCCAGCACCTGCTGTGCGGGATGTGCCCATGGGAGCGGCCCAGCATGCACCTCATGCAACACCCTCAGCATATGCCCTCGCCGCTCAGGCCCGAGCTCAGCAGGCGCGCGAGGAGCTGCTCGAGCACTTTGCCAGCAATGGGGCAGAGGACAGTGCACTGGCTACTGGGCCGGGCGAGAAGCACGGAGTCAAGCGCTCACTCGTGGCCGACATCTTCAACAACGCCCGCGACCAGGCGCTCCAGAAGCTGCGGGCGGACGCCGACGCTGTCGCTTCCTCCGCATCAGACGGCCTGCGGCAGTCCTGATGGGCGACAGTGGTGGCGCATCATGACCGGTAGTGCGATGGGCCTGGCGGGCATGCAGGCCCTAGTCGGGCGCGCTGCTGCTCGAGCTTGCGACGCTCTTGCCATTCAAAAACATCGTGTTGAAGAGTGGTTGTGCGCTGAGTGGGGCCCGAGGTGCGCGAGATCGGTTGGCGCGCGCGCTCGGGGCCAGCTGTTGCCACCGGTCGAGGGGGCAGCAGTGGCGGTCTTCTGCAAGCCGTGCCTGTCCATCAGGGGCTTGCTGGCGTTGAGCACCTTCCCGCCGCCGTCGCATCTGGAGGAGCCGCTGCGTTCCATGCCTCAGGATTGGTGCCAGGTGTTTTTTGGTGGAAATATTCATATCAGCATGACGGTGAGCAGCGGTTGTTGAAACTGTCAAGCGGTTGGTGAAACTGTCAAGCTCGCCAACGTGCCAGTCATCATCAACGGAGACTTTCAGATGGGGCCAGACCAGCTCAACGGGCCTGGTTGGGTGGAGGCCATCGATGGGGCATTGGTGGCCGCAGCCTTCGCCACTTGCAGTAACGCCTCCAAGTCAAAGGGGCGGGCCATCCATTCCTTCACTGCGTCGGCCACCCTGCAGCACGGAACCGCCGCAGAGAGTGCGCGCGACGCGGGCGACGCGCCGCGCCGCCTTGTCATCCTCGCGCTCAAGCCCAAGGTTGCTGCGCAGGCGAGTTATCGCGTTGCGAGAGCCCCCGAGAGGTTCCCAGTTGATGCTCCTATCGGATGCCGAATGCACGACCCTACGCAAGACTGGGTGGACGCTCAGATCAACATGGCCACCGCCATTGACCTCGCCGAGAAGTGGCAGGCGCGGATCATGGCCGCCGAGAGCGACTGGGTAGACGTCAGCGACGTCGACTTGGCTGAGTGTCCTGAGCGCGCAGGTCGGGGTCGAGGTCCTGTCTTCGCTGAGCGCAAGGCACCTGGCCCTGGTGAGATGGCTTTCCCGTGCTTGAGTCCAGAGGCGCTTGAGTGGAGGCTTTTGGCGCAGTGTTTCCAAGGCGTGAGCTCTGGGCAGCCGCCGCGCCGTCGCGTTGCCGTTCTGCGGCTTGCTGACCAGGTGCAACGGTGAGTTGCGCGCGGCGCATGCGCGCCCTGGGCCAACTGTAAAGTTGATCAGCAGACGGCAGCCCTTTGGCTTGAGCTGCTCAATCTCGCGCAGCATTTGCAGATGAGCCCGTCGCCGCTTTGGCTGATGCGGCCGCCTCTAGGGCCGAGTATCCACGGGCAGGCCGAGAAGAGCAAGCGCGAAGGTTGGCGGCCCTAGGTCCGCGAGCACAGCTTGGACGGAGGAGCTGCGCTTCATGCCGCCTCCGAGCCCCCCGCGCCGCGGCGTGCCAGCTCTTTCAGTCGCTCCAGCGAGCAGCCCAGTGACGGGGGCAGCTCGGCGCATGCGTCTGTTTGCTTTTTGCAGCCTGTCACCATTCTGCAAGAAGTAGACTTGTTGGACTTGTTGGAGGAGGAGCGATCTCACTGGTGGAGGGTTGGAGCGGAGGGGTCGCGAATTTCTTGGCCCGGCGACTTGGGCCTGAGCTCCCGCGCCCCCGCCTGCAAGTTTAAAAGACTGTCTGCGGTCTTCCCCTCGTGCCTCAGGGCGCGGCTTTGCCCGGGCCACCCCAGGGCAACCTCTCGCTCTCTCTGACGACAGCCTCGTCGTTCTGCTGGATTTGATCGAAGACGTCGAACGAGCTGCGAGCTGGCCTTATCTCTGGACTAAGGTCGTGTTCCTCGCCGAGAGGGAAGGAGGATTGCGCCCGATTGCTTTAATGCGCATGCTTGCCAGGATCCAGGGAAGACCCAGGCGCCCCCTGATCAAGACCTGGCAAGAGTTCAATTCTAGGCCTTACCGGTGGTCCACGAGCGGGCGGAGCAGCGACGAGCTTGCGTGGATCCAAGCTGCTGGAGCCGAGTGGGCAGCCGCCAAGGGCTTCAGCTCAGGGCTAATTTTGTTGGGCTTGCAACAGGCGTTCGAGCACGTCAGGCATCTTGAGCTCTTCGTTGCTGCTCAGAGATCGGGTTTTCCGCTCCGCCGGTTGAAGCTTCTCGTCGAGCTCTATCGGTCCCCGAGGGTGTTTTCTCTGAACGATGCTCTGTCGCAGCCGTTGAATGCTTGCCGGGCGGTCCTGCCAGCGTGTCATTTTGCCGCTGTCACGCTGCATTTTGTCCTTATGATGCCAGTAGATCGAGTGGGAATTATTTTTCCCAGGGTCGACTTGGGCATTGCAATTGGCGGTTTATGATTGCATCGCATAGGGCGAGCAGTCGAGCTTGAGCACGATTTGAAGTAATGCCACCACCGCCTTGCACGCCGAACTCGAGCATATCGGTCTTGTCGCCCATCGTCGCAAGGGTCGCGTCGCCGCGCCAGGCAGGCCCCTGAGAGATCGGATCGCGCAGCGGGTCAAGTCTATCAAACTCAAAGGAGTTTCCAGTGCAAGAAACCTGGGGATTGCATGTGCATGCGCGCGCACAAGGTGACTCGTGCTGTTAGGAAGCGCCGAGCAGCAGCTCGGGCGCGTAAGTTGCGCAGTTTTGCCAAGGTTATAAAAAGCGTCAGGTGCACCGCGTGGTTTCTGCTGCTTGCTTGGCCTCCCTCGCGTATGGGGGCAGCGTGTGCGGTGGCAACAACGGCCAGTTGCGCGCGGCGCGCGCCATGCACGCGCGCGTGCAAGTGCATGGTCGGTCGATCACTCTGCTCTTGATACTTGCGGATGTCCCGCGCTGTGATCCTGCGTATCGTCTGTGATCCTGTGGACCCGTTTTTTAGCTTTCGCCAGTGCTGTCTGGGACGTTTGGCTCCTTGCCAGCCTTCTCGAGCAGGGCGTCACTGATGCGTTTGTGCGAATCCAGCAGAGTGGCGAAGCCTGGGGTAGCGTTCTCGGCTTGTGCTGCCGCGGCTGGCTTCGACTGGTTTCACTCGTCGCTGGGGCGCATCTCAGCGAGGGAATTTTCCCTTCGCACCGTCGGGCTATGGTTGCAGAAAGTCATTGATGTTTGGCTATGGTCGAAGGCCGCTCAGACTGAACGAGACTATACCTGAGCTGCAAGACGGATGTCTATTTCAGCCTCTCGTTTCCCTCGTGCGAAGCAAGCGCCTTGTGCCCCCTGTGAAAAAATGATACCTCAAGAGTGTGGTTTCCGGGGCCCAATGGCCGCATCACAGGCAATGGAGTGCTGGCGTGGTCCCATCTCCTGAGTGCCAGGCGTGTCATCAGAATGCGTGCACCCTATGCCACAGACACACTGCGTGTGGGATGCAGGAAGAGGTCATGGCAGCTTCCGCAATCCCAGCGTATCTAGGAGCGCTAGCGCGCAGCGGCCATCTCGCCCCTCACCAACCTCTTTGCCGAGAGGCTTCTGGTGCCTGCTGCCGTGCTGCCTGCCTCCTCGAATCCCCCCGATAGATGGTTTGGCCGCGGTCCCGCAGAGATGTCGGGGTACATTTTCTTGGATGGCTCTTGGTGCGACCGGGGTCTCCCCGCGCGAGCAGGCCGCGGGGTGGGCCGTCGTCGCTGTCGAAATTCCCGTTTCGTTTATTCTGGCGTGCTTTGCCGTGGCCGAAGGCACCGTTGTAGCAGCAACAAAGCCTGGGCCGAGATTTGGAGGCTCGCGTGGGCCGAAAATGAGGATCGGGGAGGGGTCCAGGCCAGCAATCTTGTCAAGGTGCCTGCGCACGCCTACGCAGGCTGCCGCGCAGGCTGGCAGAGTCTCGTCTTTCTGTCGCCAAGGCAACATCGAAGCTGATGACTGGGCCAAGTGGAGCATTGAGCGCCAGGATTGATGCATCCCTACGCGTTGCCAGGACTTCCAAGGCGAGAGCGCTCAGCGACTGTGCAGTATGGCGTGCCAGAGTCGGGCCGAGGCTGTGTGACCTAGACTCCGTGCATGTTCCTGCCAAGGCGAGGGCTCGCAAGGAGAAGCCTGTTCCCCCGCTTGAGGTCCTCCCCCATCCTCCCACGAGTACCCCCACAGCCCTCGCCAGTGCTGATCTTGCCTGTGCGCGAGTCGCTGCCACAGGCAGACAGCAGCATGTCGTGCGCCCCTTCCAGCTGCAAGGAGGAGAGTGGTGCGCGGCGCGTGCAGCGTGCGGGCTCGGGGAAGCCAAGACTTCGAGCAGCTTGCGGCAGCCTTCCTTGGGCCGCCAGCCCCTGCATCGCACGGATTCTGGGCGCTGCAGCACCTACCTCGCGCCCCTGCCAGGTTCAGTGCGGACAAGAGGCGGCGCTTGCTCAGGCGCCCTTTCGGCCCACCGACACCATCCGTGCTGGGGAGACGTCGTCCGCGGGCGCTGCGTCCTCGGCGCTGAAGGAGTCGACGGGCTAACCCGTTCAGTTTTTCGTCAGCAGGCACACCGCCCCTCGTGACGCGCGCTGCCCTTCGGCGGCGCCGCCGGCCTCTGGGTAGCACCCATGCGGCGGCGCAGGCGGCAGGCAGGCCGTCCCTCGCGACGAGTGCTGCCCTCGGTGGCGCCGCCCGCCCCTTGGTTGCCCAAGCGGTGGCGCAAGCGGCACGTCGCGCGGCAAAACTCTTCGTTTCAAATTTGGTCGAGGAGGAGGAGGAAGAGGAGGAGGAGGAGGAGGAGGAGGAGGAGGAGGAGGAGGAGGAGGAGGAGGAGGAGGAGGAGGAGGAGGAGGAGGAACGAGGGAGGGGTGGTGGGCGCTGATTGGCGACGGCAGGTCACGGTGTGACAGAGCCGCCTGCGCGCCATCATAGCTGCGCCTGCCACTCTTCCCACTCTGCCTCGGCGAGGGGGGCTGAGACCCCCGCCGGGGGATCGTCGACGTGAGCCTTCGGCGCCCTGCCCGCGCGCAGGTTCGCAAGGTGCCACGGCTGCTTGGGGCGGCCATTGCAACCGTCGCGGAGGCCTGCCAGGTGGCGTTGGGCGTGCTGGCCGCACCGCTGGCACCATACCCACGTCGACGTCTTCCATAGCGGGTGGCCGTTCTAGGAGGCGCCGGCCGTCGCGAACACCATGGGGAGGTTGGCGGCGACGTGCCCTCTACAGCATTCGTATTGCAGCACCTGCAACGGTGCGCGGCGGGGGCATTTCACGCACTCCCACCGACCACCTGGCCGACGCTGAACGTCGTGGGCCTGAGCTGGGTCGGGCACGAACTGGACTGGGCTGGCGAGACTTTGGCAACTCCTGCACAACAGGCCATCGGGAGTGCTCGTCCAAGACCCGCGTGGTGATCTCCTTTTGGGAATTCAACACGTAGTGGATCTTCTCCGCCGCTGCGTTGCAGGCCTCGTCGATGTGCTGCAGCATGACGTTGGTGCCGCATTCATCTCCGCGGCCCGCTCGTTCGTCCGCCGCCTTGTTGGCCTGGGCGACGCGCCGCTGCTCGCAATCCAGCGACTCCATCACGGCCGCAGGGCGATGGGCCTTCACCTTGCGGAACTGCACGCCGTTGGGGCCCAGCCCGATGTCCCGCAGCCTCGCCCGTACCTGTCGCCACAAGTCTGCATTCGGGCGGCGTGAGGCGGTGCACCACCGCTCACCAGCGGCCACTCCATCAATGACGGACTGCCTGTCGACGTGCAGGGCCATCGGCGCGTCGGCATGCACTAATGGGCGCTCGATGGCCTGCAGCTCGGCGCGGTCGATGTTCCGGTGCACGGGCAGGCTTTGAGGCAGCGGCCCCCGCGCAGCCACCTGAACGACGGCGCCCTCTCACCACCCACCAAACCACCCCAACCCAACCCGAAGGCCCCAACTTATCCTCGATTTCCAGTGGGGGGGGTCGTGGAACATCGAGAAAACACATATGGAACCCGTATCCCCCCCCAACCCGAAATTCGGGTCTTCGGGTTGGGTTGGGGTGGTCTGGTAGGTAGCCACCCTCGGGGTCCATCATCGCGGCTGCCTGGCCCCCTCGGCCGAACCACTTCCAGCGCCCCTTCAAGCTGCCATCGGTGCCGACGCCCCCCGTTCGGTAGCAGTCTTCCCCTTCCCAGTGCCCCTCGAGGACCCGGGCCTCGAGGGGCCGACGAAGACCTGGATGGGGGAGTGGTGCCCGGTCACAGCCAACGGTCGTTGCTGGTGGCCATCGCGCGCTGCCAACGAGGCGGGAGCGCCTCCCGACGGTGCCGCAAACCGGGGCAGCAGGCCCAGCGGTGCTTCGGCGTGCCAGCAACCTCGCGCCCGTCAGCTAAGTGCAGCTGGCACCACGGCAGCGTCACGACTCATGCATGCCAAGCCCTGTTCTGCGTCCACGCCCAGGCAGAGACGCTCCGGGCAGCAGCAGACGCGCCCGCGCACCAACGGCGCTGCCAACGCCTGAACCACTTCTGGAGAGTCTCGGCGAACGGGGCGGGCGCAAGCGCACTGTCATCGGCGACCCGCGCCTCCCACTGCTGCAGCTCCGCGTCGAGCTCCGCCCTTGCCTAGACATCCCAGGAGTACACCACTCCCATGTCGATGATGTGACCCTCCCTGCTGACAATGGTGCGCCAGGACGGCCACGTCCACCCCAGGCGACGAGCAGCCAGCGCGCATGAGGAGGCTGGCCCCATCTGAGCTGACTGCGACTCGTCGTGCAGCAGCCGGATCTGCTGCCGTTTCCAGGCCTCCGACATGGTGGGAGACAGTCCTGGGTGGCCCCACACGTGCTCGGCCCAGGCTGCTATTGGCGCTGACGTAAGGGCGGGGCCAGGGTCCTCGCCGAAGCACGCCAACCTCAGCGTCGTCGAGCGGTGCCTCGAACGACCTGGCAGCGCTGCGTTCACCATGCTCCAGAGTTGTGCGACCTCCTGAGGAGTGAGGCCAATCGCCCTGTGCTCGTGGGTGGCCGCTGGCAGGAGGCCCCCCTTGGAGACCAGCAGAACCCTGGCCCCCCATCTCTTGGCCTTGACGACCAAGCGCCGGCGCTCAGCGAGCACTCGAACGCGACCAGCTCGTTGAGGGCGGTCGCGAGCCAGGCGCCGGCGAGACAGGCGGCGGCGCGCCATGGCAGCCTCCAGCCCGCGGCCTTTCCAGCCTTTCCTGTCAATACCAAGCTGGCTCGCCTGCTGCTCCATGTGGATGCCGAGCCTGGCGAGCCTCCTCCCTAGCGCGTGGCCCACCCGAGCGGAGGTGGCGAGGCCTACTGATTTTCCCGGCACCTCCCCCGGTCCACGCTGACCTCCAGTTGCAACGTGGACTCCACGGTGCGCAAGAACCACTGCGCGCCGTCGGCCATGTCGTCCACCACTTGCCAGGCGATGCCCCGGGCCCGCACGGTGATGTCATCCACGTACTTCGCCAGGCCGATTTGCGGCCAGCGCGACGCCAGGGTGTCGCAGGGCTCGAGAAGACGAGGTGCAAGGCAGCAGTGGCGAACCGGCTGCCGGAGACTATCGCGGAGATCACCTGGACCGTCCTGCTGTGCGCTCCCTCCACCGCGATAGTCCAGACAGCGGAGTAGCTGGAGGGAGGAAGGGAGGGAGGGAGGGAGGGAGAGGGAGGAGGAGGAGGAGGAGGAACGAGGGAGGGAGAGGGAGGGAGGGAGGGAGGGAGAGGGAGGAGGAGGAGGAGGAGGAGGAGGAGGAGGAGGAGGAGGAGGAGAAGGAGGAGGAAGAAGCCCAGGACGGGCCAGGAGCGAGCCCAGAACCGGCCCAGGAAAGGCCCAGGGCCCACCCAGAGCGGTCTGAAATCGGCCATGCTCGGGGGTCGCTGCCGGTCCAGTCGGTCTTCTCGGGCCGGGCGAAAGGGGGGGATTGGGAAAGGGGGGGTTACGAAATTTGCTGCATGCAGCTGGTTTCGGCCTCACCGAGGGGCCCATTCCTCGATACACAGCCGCCTCCGGCGCCGGGAGGCGCCGGGAAAATCAGCTACGCGAGCTGATTCTCAAACCCCCCCTTTGCTATCCCCCCTTTTGTCCGACCCGATCTTCGGTTGTGCTTCGACGATTCTCTCGAGGGCCCCCAAACGGTTCCAAGACCGTGCGGTGACGGACCGCGCGGTGAGGTCTTTTGGTGTTTTGTTTTCATTGTTTTGCCGATCGGCGCGGGCCCCCCCCCCCATGGAGTAGATCTTGGCTGTTTTGGCGCCTGTTTCGAGCAGGCGGAGCCTCTCCCCCAGGGGCCGCACGGTCGCAAACAGTCGCACTGCGCAGAGGTCCAGAGCCAGACCCCCTCCTCCCCCTCCCCTTCCGCCCAATGTCGAAGCGCCGAATAAAAAAGCGCTCACTTGGGCTTTCGAGTTCACCGCGCGGTCCGTTACCACACGGTTTTGGGACCCCCGATCCTCAGGACGTGTGTTTTCACTTATGCCCCGTTTAGCTCCGCTGATCGCACGCGGCCCGTGTCGGTCCTCATTGCACGGCTTCCGTCGTGTTGACGGGTTTTTTGGACAGGGACACGTTGGCGCTAACACACGTTTTTTCGTCGGCGGCGAGGCAGGACTGCTGTCTGGGTGGACAGTACGTGGCCCGTCTAGGAGCACCTAACCGCTGCAGTAACCGATGTGCAAGGACCGCACCCGAAGGAGTTGAGTGCCACGTGGTGTCTGACTGGACATGACATGGCGGGTCCAGGGGCACCTCACCGGTGCACAAGCCTGTGTGAGCGGACTGCGGCAGAGAGTTGGCGCCAGCACATGTTCTGAGGATCATCGGGTGCCGCTGGCGTGGGCGGCCGTGCCAGGCAAGAGCTGCGGGAGGTCCGCGCCGATGTCTGGGATCGGAGCCGGAGGCCCTTGTCGGCGCCTGTGTCGCCACCCCCGACGCGCCGATCCAAGGCATCTGCGCGGGCCTCCAGAAGTTCAGGCTTATGTTTTGTTGGTCCCTCTGTCATCGACTGTGGGCCAGGGATCCCGGTCCCGCCCAGGAGCCTGGGGTTCTGCCACCGGGGGCTTACCGACGGCCCCTAATTTTGAGCCGAGGTGTCCCGCCCTGAGCCAGTCTCCCTTTGTTGCTCCCCCAGACGGTGTCTGGGGAGTCGGCTTGCCAGCTCGACGAGATCCTCTGGTGTCCGTAGTGTTAGTGTAGCTGACCCAATGGTCGGACGTTATTGTTGTGACCCGTGGACCTCCACGATTGTGGTTCCTTCCAGGCGCGCTCAGGCTACCACTCCTTCCCTCCTCCCTCCATCCGTCCTCTGTCTTAGCCTTCCACCTATTCCTGTCCTGTGTCATTTCCATTCAATGCATATTCTTAAGGTACTATAATCTAATATTAATTGGTACTCCCAGATGCTGCCACGAAACTTCTGAACACCTTGTTTTTCTCCTTCACGTTGTTCAGTTACAGCTCGTTGCTGAGAGTTCCGGTTCAGAACGTAAGCCATAATCGTATCAGGATGATGACAGCGTTCCGAGCAGTACGATCTGCATACTGGTGTAGACGTCGCCAGACAGTAACATCTAAGTCCAGAACGTGTTCGGCAACCTTCAGCTTTTTTATCTGGGACCTGCCCGACCGCGAATACGACTCATCTGTTTCCTCAGGTAGACGAGGCCATTGAACATGACTTGCACATTGCTTTGTCTGAGCGGCAGGCAGGGATAAGGCAGATCTTCCACTCAAATTCCAAACTGGAGCACACCGTAAACACGTCGATGGTACAGCACGGTGGATTAACCGAAATCTCGAGGCCCGTGTACTTGACGGACTGGATAGGAGATGCTGAACCGATCCCACCACAGTAGACGCCATGTACGTTTTCTGTCCGAGTGTCATGGTCCAACTGCCCACGCGCATCGATCGAAATGCCAGTGATGTTCGATGCTCTGTCGTGTGGAATGGTCTCAGCAGCAGACCAAATCCTAGACCAGGAAGAATACATATCGTGGAGGAGGAGGAGGAGGAGGAGGAGGAGGAGGAGGAGGAGGAGGATATGTGATGTTCGTGATTCACCTTGTCGTCGTTCTCGCCTGACCCGTCGTCTCGCTCCGCTCGCCGCGTTTAGCACAGCATGCCATGCCGGATGGCCCCCATCTTATAGCATGCCACCACCGCCACCTTTGTCCTCCGTCCGCTGTCCTCCGTCCGTGTTCTTCTCTGCTCCCTCCCTCCTTCCCTCCTCTCCCCACCCTCCACCCCTCCCTCCGCCGTCCTCGTTTCTCCTCCCCTCCCTTCCCTTGCTCCTCCCTCAGCCTCAACACTCTTTCCGATCTCCCTCTACCAGCTTCTCTTTTTCCTCCTCCTTCGTTCCCCCCCCCCCTCTCGTCGGAATCGGAGCAGCTGGGAGCGCGACAGGTGAACTGCAGCGGCTTCGAAGGGCTCTTCGACTTCCTGTACCTCCCCTACGACCTGAAGAAGGCCAGTCGCTCCGCAGCTGCAGCACGCGCGCGCCGCCACAGGTCGGGCCCGAGTGCAGAGGCACGCGCGCAGCCATCATGCTGGGAACTCTCTGGTGGTGCCGTCCACCCTCCCTCCGCCGGGCGGCGCCTGCAGTGGAGACCCCTGCCAAGAAACGCCCCGCTTGCCTCCAGGGCGCCCTGGGTGTCTTGGGTTTCGATGGTCTTGCCGTGGCAAGAGCGACGCTCCTGCAGCAAAGCTCAATGGACCTCCTGGGGTCTCGGGGTTGCGTTTCTTGTGGGAGGTCTTCTTGTGGACTGGCCTCCGCTGTATCGTGAGCGCCTCGGGCCGTGCTGGGCTAGTAGCAGGGTGCGTCTGTGCTCCTTTCCACCTCCTCCAGCTCCCCTCGCTCCATACTCGCCCGGTGTGCATGGCGTCTTCAGCGTAGTGCACACCCCCGGCAACGTTGCCCTCTGGCGCCTTTTCGCGGATTTCCGAGTTCCGAGTTCCATATTGCGAAGGCCTTACGGCCGGTGCCGCCGACCCTGGAGGGCGACCCATGCTTTCTCTAATGTGGCGGGTGGGGCCTCTTGGGGGTATCTTTGGGTCTCGTGTGGGGGGGGGTCGTGTTGGGGCTCGTCGGGCCCCCCGTCTGGGCACCCTGTTGGTCTTGAGGCTCTCTTGGGTCATTTTGGGACTCTCTTGAGGCCTCTTGGGCTATCTTGGGGCAATCTTGGGGGCATCTGGGGCCGTCTTGGAGCGTCGGCAAGTTGAAACGGCGAGAACGCCAAAATCTGTCAAAAACTCTAAGGAAATCATTGATTTTTCCCTCTTCGTGCCCTCTTAGGATTGCTCTTGGAGACTTCTTGGAGCGTCTTGGCAATCTCTTGGGCCGTCTGGAGGCTACTTTGGCGTCTTCGACCGATGGTTCGGCGATTCGGGGCCCTCTGGAGCCGTCTTGGAAGCCTCTTGGGGCACTCTTGGCCAGTCTGGGGGCTTTTCTAGGTCCCGGGACATCCCGGGGGGGATGCGTATCTGCCCCCCCCCCCCCCCCCCCCCCCCGGGACCCCCCCCCGGGACCCACCCCCCGGGACCCCCCCCCCCGGGACCCCCCCCCCGGACCCCCCCCGGACCCCCCCCTCCCCCCCCCCCCGTTCCGAGTTCATATTTGCCCCCTCCCTCGGAGTCGACCGCAGGGCTTCTTCTGGTGCGCGCTCGGACTAGGATCGCGAGGCCGGTCCAGCCAGGTGCGCGGAGGTTCCCCAGGAGCGGGGGAGGCAGCAACAAGTTGCACATCTCTCCCCCCCTCTCATCTGCGGCCAAAAAACGGAAGGTCCCTCTTCCAGCACTTCCCTCCTGCTTTCTTCCTCCTCTTCTTCCTTACCCTATTTCCGACTCTTCATTCCTGCCTCCTCCATCCTGCCTTTTCCTCTTCTTTCTCCCGCCTTCTTCTCCTCTTTTTCCTCCTCCTCCCGTCTCCCCTTCCTCCAGGTGGCACGAGTGACTCCCCTTGCACTCATACCTTCCGTATGCCCCCTCCCCACGCTCCGTTCGACCGAACTTCCGCAGCGGGCAGTTTCGGCAGGAGTGCCGCTGCGGCTCACGGATGCCATTGCTCAGATGATTTCATTTACGCCACACTGCCGACCCCTCGGATGAGAGTCGTTGTTGCGGCTTCTGGGTGCTGCGTGGCGGATGTTTGTATGTATATCGAAGGCGCTCACGGCGAATCTCCGCCGCCCCATTGCCTTCTAGAATCGCCCATGTGGCCGAGCGTTGCGGCAAGAGCTCCGCCAAGCTATCGGGCCATGTGTTCCCCCAACCGTTGTGGAAACCCTTCGGGGAGCACTTGGGGGGAGATGGCGGGGAAGGCGTTGGAGGCATCTTGGAGGCCATCTTGGCCGTCTTGGAGGTCATCTTGGGCGTCTTGGGGGCCCCTTGGGCCGTCTTGGGGCCTTCTTGGGGCCTTCTTGGGGGCCTCTTGGGTTGTCATGGGGCCATATTGGAGGCCTCTTGGGCGCTCTTGGGTCGATGTTGGGGGCCGCTTGGGCCGTCTTGGGCCGTCGGAGAGCTGAAAAGAAGAACATGCCAAAATTCTTCAAACGCCATCGGAAAATCTATGATTTTAAGCGGGAAGACCTTGGAGGCATCTTGGAGGCCATTTTGGCCGTCCTGGAGGTCATTTTGGGCGTCTTGGGGGCCCCTTGGGCCTTCTTGGGGCCTTCTTGGGGCCGTCTTGGGGGCTTCTTGGGCTGTCATGGGGCCATCTTGGAGGCCTCTTGGGCGCTCTTGGGTCGATGTTGGGGGCCGCTTGGGCCGTCTTGGGCCGCCGGGTAGCTGAAAAGACGAACATGCCAAAATTCTTCAAACGCCATCGAACAATCTATGATTTTAAGCCTGTCGGGCCTTCCTGGAGGACGTCTTGGAGGACTCTTGGGGTGTCTTGGAGGCCTCTAGCGGGCCTGTAGGGCCGTCGTAGGCCATCTTGAGACCATCTTGGGCTGTTTTGGGTGCATCTTCGGGCCATCTTAGCCGTCTTGACGGCCATTTTGGGCGTCTTGGAGGCATCTTGGAGACCATCTTGGCCGTCTTGGAGGCTATCTTGGGCGTCTTGGGGGCCTCTTGGACCGTCTTGGGGCCTTCTTGGGGCCCTCTTGGGGGCCTCTTGGGCTGGGGGCCATCTTGGAGGCCTCTTGGGCGCTCTTGGGTCGATGTTGGGGGCCGCTTGGGCCGTCTTGGGCCGTCGGAGAGCTGAACAGAAGAAAATGCCAACATTCTTCAAACGCCATCGGACAATCAATGATTTTAGGCCTGTCAGGCCTTCCTGGAGGACGTCTTGTTGGGCTCTTGGGCCGTCTTGGAGGCCTCTTGCGGTCCTTTGGGCAGTTATAGGCCATCTTGAGGCCATCTTGGGCCGTCTTGGGTGCACCTTGGGGCCATCTTGGCCGTCTTGGAGGCCATCTTGGCCGTCGTGGAGGCATCTTGGAGGCCATCTTGGCCGTCTTGGAGGCTATCTTGGGCGTCTTGGGGGCCTCTTGGACCGTCTTGGGGCCTTCTTGGGGCCCTCTTGGGGGCCTCTTGGGCCGTCCTGGGGCCGTCTTGGAGGCTTCTCGGGCACTCTTCGGTCGATGTTGATGGCTTCTTGGGCAGTCTTGGGCCGTCGGAAGGGCGAAAAGGAGCAAAAGCCACAATCCTTCAAACATCCAAGGAAAATTAATGATTTAGACCTCTTCGGGCAGTCCTTGAGGACCCTGGAGGACCTCTTCGAGGCCTCTTGGGCCGTCCTGGAGGTCTCTTGGAGGCCTCTGGGACCGTCTTGGGCCGTCTGAGGTGTTTCTTGTGCGAACTTGGAGGCATCCTGGACTTTCTTGGGCCGTCTGGAGGCCACCTTGGACCATCTTGGGCGAACTTGGAGGCCATCTTGGGCCATGCTGGCGGTCTTGAAAGCCATCTTGGCCGTCTTTAGACAAATCTGTACGCAAGTTCCGGTCGTTTGCGCGGCCTTGTGCTACTCTCCGGGGCCCCAGCGGGACGGGCCGAAGCCCCAAGGGAGCTTCCTATAAAATAGCAAAACCGTCTAGTACAGCCGGGGCCCTGGAGAAGGAACCCTTCTCGTCTGGGAGGGGCTCGGTGTTCCTTGCTTGTTTCGCAGCTTGCATCAGGTTTTCCTTATGTTTTCAATGGGATTTCGGAGTTTGACTTATGGAATTTAGGGTTCCTTATTTAGGGTTCCTTAGGTCAACGCCCCGACTGTATCTCTCACGCCCGGCACCCCTGTGGCAAGCCAACAGGGGGCGGCGGATCCATTGGCCTTTCGGCCCATCCGCCCACCGTGCCTGGGTTGCGGTTCAGAGGCCACTTGGCTGTTCGTTGGGATCTCGTGAGGATCCTCCTGGGGTCCGAGGCAGTTTGGAGGCTTGGGGACGCTTTGGGGCCTCTTGGGGCCTTTTTTGGACCTCTTGGGGGTCTCTGGGGGGCCTCTTGGGGTTCTTTCGGGGCCTCCTGGGGGGGGGGCGGAAAGCTAGAATTTTCGGTTCGTGGTCCACTTCTTGGGCACCTCTTGGGGCCCTCTTGGGGCTGCCTTGGGCTGGGCCGTCTTGGGGCCCTCTTGGGCCGTCTTGGGGCCTTCTTGGGGGCCTCTTGGGCCGTCTTGGGGCGGTCTTGGGGCATCTCGGGCCGTCTTCGAGCGTCGGAAGCCAGAAAAAAGAGAACGCCAAAAGCATGGGAAAAAGAACAATGAAAACCACCGAGTTTGGCCTCTTGGGGCCCTTTTGGGAGGCCTCTTCGAGGCCTATTGAGGCGTCTTGGATGCATTTCGGGCCGTCTGGAGACCATCTTGGGCGTCTTGGGGCGATGTTTCGGCGACTCGGGGCCCTCTTGGACCGTCTTTCACCACCCACCAAACCACCCCAACCCGACCCGAAGGCTCGGATCTACCCTGGATTTCTAGTGGGGGGGGGGTCCGGGAACATCGAGAAAATACGTATGGAGCCCATACCCCCCCCCGTCGGGTTGGGTTGGGGTGGTCCGGTAGGCAGTCCGTCTTGGAGGCATCCGGGGACCCTCCCTCGTGGCCCCCCCCCCCTCGCAGAACTTCTGGAGCAGAGGGCCCTCCCTGGCCGGCCCAGGTAGCCCCCAGCTGGCCCGGATGGACCCATACCTTCCAAATCGTCCAGACCAGGCTCCCGTTTGGGGAGTGGGAAGCATCTCACACGCCGATGAACCCCAAGGGGTCGGCGGATTCGCAGAGGCTCCTGGACCCCCTCCTGACTCAACTCAGGAGAATGGCTCTAACTTCGGTATCAATATAAAACGCATGCGGGGAAGGTCCTTGCGATCTTCATCGCGATCTCCCCCTGGCGATCATTGGGCCCAAGAGGGGGAGATCGCGATGAAGATCGCAATGAAGATCGCAAGGACCTTCCCCGCATGCGTTTTATATTGATACCGAAGTTAGAGCCATTCTCCTGAGTTGAGTCAGTATGGGGTCCAGGAGCCTTTGCGAATCCGCCGACCCCTTG